AAGCAGGACCTGAAGGAGGGCTGCCTTTTCTTCCCTGTGGGTGTGGATTTTATCTGAGGATCCCAGCAGTGTTTTAGGCCAAAGCCTGATAGCATCGTGGGGTGTGGGCTGCGGGGATAAAGGACAGGTTTGTGATGTGAATTATCACAGGTCCCGCACTTACTGGGTACACCGATGGCTCTGAGGAGGTGGAGTAATGGCTCAGGAGCTCCTGGCAGGCACTCGGGGGAAGGTCGTGGATGAAAGTGTTGAGAGTGGAGAAAAGGCTAAACTTGGGAAAGGTAGAGGGCTTCTATCAGTCAGGGACCAAGCAGGAAAACAGAACCTAGCAGGATTAGTAGAATTGAATGTGAGGAGCTTATCACAAAGGAGACCAAACACAAAATAATGAAACAAGCTATTCAGGAGGCTGAGATCTGAGGATAACAGTTTGAAGCCAACCTGGACAGGAAGCCAATGAGACTCTTACCTCCAATTAACTACTAAAAAAGCCAAAAGTCGAACTGTGGCTCAAGTGGTAGAGTAAGGCCTTCATTGGAAACAGCTAGAGGACAGTGGCCCAGGCCCTGAGTTCAAGCCCCAGTACCGGCATGTGCACACACACACCCCCCACACCAAAAAACAAAACAATCAACTAAAACAACAACAAAACTCAACAACACACGGAGCCTGGGGTGGCCTGGAGACGGCCAGCATCAGGAAGCTGCTGTCCTCCTTGGGGTTGGAGGACAACGTAATGTCACCTGGTCCTAAGAGCCAGAACACCTAGTGTGCTCTGGAACTATGAGGTGCAGGTGCCCAGGGCTGGGTTCCGAGGTAGAGGTAGGTGGAGGCTAGCATGCAGGGGAGGCAGAGGAAGTGGCTACGTGGCAGTCTCTCGCTTTAAAAAGAAATATTGTAAAAATGATGTACACAGGGCTTACAGTTACGTAAGTCAGGTGATGAGTACATTTGTTTTTGAACAGGGTCATCCCCTCACTTATTTTCTCCCATTTCCTTCCTCCCGGCCCCCCTCTCCCACAGGTGGTATAGTTCATTTCCAACATAGTGTCTACTGTGTATCACTACTGAAGTGGTTCGCCTTTTGTTCCACCATTTCTGTGTTTTCCCTTCCCCTCCTCCAAATCAGATAAACATATACAAAACAAAGGGTGTAGAAATGAAAAACAGCAACAAAAGGGAATATACCAAAGAAAAAAGGGGGAAATAAAGAGCTGCAAGCAGTACAGTTAAAAACCTTTTATTTCAGGCTGGGAAGGTGGCTCAGTGGTAGACCGCTTGCCTTGCATGCCTGAGGCCCTGGGTTCGATTCCTCAGCACCACATAAGCAAAAAAGAAAAAAGCCGGAAGTGGCGCTGTGGCTCAAGTGGTAGAGCGCTAGCTTTGAGTTGAAGAGCTGAGGGACAGCGCCCAGGCCCAGAGTTCAGGCCCCAGGACCAGACCCTCCCCCCCAAAAAAACCCCTCTTATTTCCATTTCTTGGAGTTTGTTTTGATAAGCATCATTTTACATGATGATATGTACATAGCTTTGAGCCCTTGTGATCCTCTCCTAAGAATATCCTCCTTTGTTCTCACTGTATGAATGTTTAATTCATCATGTCCAAGTGTATTTTTTTGTCTTTTACTATCCATTGGGTTTATGTTAGATTGATATGCATATTCTAATCATTACAAATGAGGGAAATCATGCAGCCTCTGTTTCTTTGGGTCCGGGGGTTACAGTCTTTTTTTTTTTTTTGGTTGGTCATGGGGCTTGAACTCTGTGCCTAGAAACTGTCCTTCAGCTCTTCAGCTCAAGGAGAGTGCTCTACCACTTGAGTCACAGTGCCACTTCTGGTTTTCTGGTGGTTTATTGGAGATAAAGAATCTCATGGACTTTTCTGCAGGGCTGGTTTGAACTGTGATCCCCCGATCTTTCCTCCTGAGTAGCTAGGATTATAGGCATGAGCCACCAGTGCTGGGCATTGGGCTACAGTCTTAAAGAGTTCCAAGCTGAGTGAGACTGGGCTATCAGACTCTGGAATGCCCTTCAGAGGTGACTCAAGTTGGAGCAAGAAGACCTAACGTCCTCTCTGATCAAGAGTTATGGAATGGGATGTAGATGCTGGTGGCTCATGGCTGTAATCCTACCTACTCAGGAGGCTGAGATCTGAGGATCTTGGTGTAAAACCAGCTAGGATACAGCAGATCCAGCAAAATCTGAAATTAAAGGTGTAGCTCAAGTGGTAGAGCACCAGCCAAGTGATAGCATGAGGCCTGAGCTCAAGCCCCAGTACCAAACCAAACCAAACCAAGAGTTATTGGCTGTGGACCTATTTGAGGTCTTCTCTATCAAGGCAATTCCCCAAGGACTCTTGATAAGCAGCCAGTGAGAAAATCCAGTCCCAAGGGTAGAGGAACAGGAGGGAACGATCACATCACAGCGGCTACACAGACTCCAGTGACCCCCAGGGGCTTTGGGCACTTGGACTATGGTATTGTGGACCTCCTGGAAGAGGCCAAAGTAAGTACACAGCTTGGAGTACATTGCTTGCCCACCAACACCATTATGCAAAAACCTAACTGAAAGCTTAGTGGGCCTTAGATTCTGACATGAGACACTTTTTTAAAAAGAGTTTAAAAAATGTTATTATAAAGGTGATATACAGAGGGGTTACAGCTACCACAAGTCAGGTAAAGAGTACATTTCTTTTTGGACAATGTCACCCTATCCCTTGCTTTGAGAGAATCTTGAAAGGTAGAAAACCTCAAGCAGGCTCAGGGGCAACGTTAGCATGGCACAATATCGTCCCAAACTACCTGTGTCGCCATGGTTCTCTGCCACCTTCCTGGAGTACTATTTCCTACCGGTCCACATCCTGCTGGCCTGGCCACCTGTGGTCCATACCCACTAGGGAGACTGTCCACCCTCATCCCTCCAGCTCAAATGCTTTCTAGACAGAGACTTCTCTAACTCCTCTTCTCCCTAGGAATTTAGTCCCTCCCGAGTCCCTTACAAGTGCCCAAGAACTTGGCTATGTGCCCATGTGCCAGCTAGTGAACCACAGCAAGAAATTTAATCATTTAAGAAGAATGGGGCCATGCCCATCATATTATTACTGATTTCATTTCTACCTCGTGTGTGTGTGCTTTTTCTTGCTCAAGGGTGGCACTCTACCGCTTGAGCCACAGCTCCTCCACTCCCAGCTTTGTGGTGAACTGGAGAGAAGAGACTCACAGAATTTTCTGTCCAGGGTTGGCTTTGAACTTCGATTCTCAGATCTCACCAGTTTAGGATTTCCAGGTGTGAGCCACCCAGTGCCGGGTTCCATTTCTGCCTTGAAACCATATAACCTAGGCCTTAGTAGATGCTTAATTAGCATTTGTTGAATGGGTAACCAATGTTGAAACGACTTACTTGAGGAGCTAATAGAAAATTGTTCAGCAGCAGTAGAGAGGAAGGACTTCCATAACAACGTTACCTTTGCTAAGAGTCCAGGGACTCCACACCAATCTGGTTCTCTCAAGAAACATAAAGGACACAACCGGACCGATTCCAAGGCGGTTGCACGGAGTTTTTGCACAAGATCTGGTATCATTCTGTGCTCTCCAGATAATCATACTGCATGAAGTGCCCTGCCCGGCGGTGCCCAGAGCGCCTCTCAACCGCTTCCCCCGGAATCCAGGCTGGCACCGGGGCGGGCGCGGTGGCCGGGCCGCGCGGCGCGTGCGG